AATGTCAAAAATATGTTTAAAAGGGAAAAGGGCATGAGCTGGATTGACAGGTCCGTTACTCGAGCGCTAGGCGGGCGATAGGCTAGCGACCAAATTTCGGGAGAAAATCTGCAGGTATTGCTCAAGCAGTCAGCTAGCGGTAGGCCAGTGAAAATACGACGACTTTTCTTCCAGTCCATAATTTCAAGCTCTTCAAATTCAATACAAATTTCAACTCTCAATAAGGCTTTCAAATACAATTTCAACTTGAATAAGACTCCAAAAACAATCCAAACTGAATTCCTCTTGACGTGCACTTCAATTATAATTCTTCCATTATTTCAACAAAGCATTCGGGTCACATTCAAATTCTAACACATATTGTCTATCATTATTTAATCAGAATGAAATATTGTGAATTGTATTGCATCCAAATTAGTTCACGTCTCTAACAACGTTTATAAACCAAATCACAGCATACATCAAACCATCAAATAGTCGTAGTACATAATGCTATTTCTTCTTTTGATTATTTCATAATAAATTTATATATGTATTTTAGTACTTTGACTCTCACAACATTGTCGTAGATAACTAAATAACAGAATCTTATAAATCAATATTTAGTTTTTTTAAAATATTTATTTATTTACAGACAAACCTACAGTAATTAAATAACAGAATCATATAAATCAATACATATATAATCATGTTTCCCATCATTTAAAGAACCAAATGTATTGAGTGCGGTCCAATACAATATGCCAAAATGTGGAGTAATCTTTATACTTACTAAGAAAATCATAAGCCTACTCAAGTAGTTAATTGCAAAAATACCAAAAGTATCTACTACTAAACCAAAAATAACTGATTAAAATAGTACAAAATAGTCGATCCATGTCGAAGTTTTATTCTTTGATCAACATCTGGCTATCCCAAATAATCAATACCTTGTACATCACAAAAATAAATAATAATAGTATAGTTAATAAACTTACAGCGAGCATGCAAATAAAAAATGATATCCAAAATAATAAAAGCACTAAAATGAGCAATCACAGAGAACAAGTAGTCAACCCACAGTGCGAGGTTTTTTGAGAGGAATGTGAAATATTACGTTGGATAATGAAACGAATAAGCTAAGCTAAAATAAAAAGAAGAATTTGCTCAAAATCGAAAA